TATGTGGGTGTGTTGTAATCCTGGTGTCCACGTGGAAAATATTGAGCGCTTTGACATTTTGACTATTTGCTTTAAACCTATATATATTAAGGTTATGATCCCTTATTAAGATCTTATTTTTTTTTTATTTATGTATTTTTTTGTTTTTTTTCCTAAGCTCACATTGTATTCCGAGAATACGAGCTTTTGATTTTTGTTCGTATATTTTTTTTTTCTTTATTTTTGTCCACTTGTTTAATTTTTATTTTTTTTATTGTTCGGGTAAAAAAATCGATTTTTATCCGTTGGTTTTAGCTGAGGTTTTTGAGGGAGATATTTTGGGAGATAAAAAAAAATGGCTAATTGTTACTTGTATAGGGATTCTAATTGTAATTAGCTAATTAAATGATGGAAAAATTCGATCTTACCATAGTGATTTATATAAAGATTGAAATTAAATACACATATGGACAAGCATTCGTTACTCTACTCATTATAATATTAGCTGCTAAAAACAACCATAATATTACCCAAATGAGTTATCCATGAATACTTGTCACGGTAAACGTTACCAATGTGTGAATAATCAACACGACTCATATCCTTTGATGTCATGCATATTTTCTTGTTATAAAATCAGCTGGACATTAAGCTAATGAAACTCCTTTGGCACCTAAATAGAATAAAATATCCATGTACAAAACAACTGAACCTTATTATCATTACAAGATCAGTAGCAAGCAAGCTACAAGCTGTAAACTCCTCATTTAATCTCCTTTCCTATGCTACAAGCTGAAAATCACTCAACAAACGCCCATAGGGTTGAAACCAAAAGCACAAGTATCATATCAAACCCAGGCACCTCATGAACTCTACTCCCTTCGGCACGCTTGGGAGCGAAGTTATTCTGCTGCCCCTTCACGACTTCCACCGGGAACACACAACTGCCCGTCGACGGGTCTTCCGTCACGACCCGCCCGAGCCCTCCGAACGTGCACTCCTTCTCGTTTTGAAACTTTGCCTGGAAGTACATGTTGAACGCGTACGACACGTTCTCCCACTTGTCGAGCCCGCTGCACGACCCTCCCGTGTACATGCTCGTACAGTCCCCTCCACTGCACGCGACCATGTACTCTGCCTCGACCCTCTCGTCGTCCGCCAACGATGGGTCCAACACACACCACCGCTCCGGCATCCGGTTGATATCGCGGGCTCGGGCCGGGAGCACGTCCCGACCCTGACCTGTTAGGTCGACCCGGTATTTCGGCTCCCCGTTGGACCTGTAGATCCCCCAATGCCGCCCGTAGGGCACTCCGGGCGGGTTCTTGTTCTCGTCTGTGAGCGCGTGCACGTAAATGTCGATGTGCTTACCCGGCCGCTTGGGTGTACCCCGGCCGCTGGAGACGAGTGGAAGGAGGGCCTTGTAGAACCGCTCGGCATTGGCTGCGCTGGCGTTTGGGTGCCCGTCTGTGGGCCACCCGATCTGAGTCACGACGACCTCCACTTCGTGGGCCCCAACCTTCTCGAGGGCCCACATGAAGGAGTCGTACATAAACTCGAACGCGTTGGTGTACACGGCGCCCCCGACGTCGGTCACGATGTGGGTCGATCGGTTGTCGGCGAAGGCAAAGTCGAAGTCGTGAATGCCGAGGGCGCGTACGATCTCGACTGGGAAGAGGTCGATGCAGACAGGGGCCCCGCTGGCTTTGATGATATCGAGGTACCTCATGAACTGCTCGTGGACCGAGACGCTGATCTCGGCTTCGGAAGGCCTCGTGAAATTGTGGTTTAGTACGAAGAAAGGATGGGTCAAGGTCGCCTTCACGTGGCTATACCCGGCATCGTTGAGCGCTCTTTGTGTGTTGTTAAGCATGTCGACTACCTTGCTCTGTTGCCTCGTGTCGTTTAGTATCGGCGCGAACATCTGGTTCCCGACGTAGACTCGCCTGACGATATTTGCATTATGTTAGTTAATTTAGACCATGTATGTATATAGTTTGGATCCTTTTTTATATTATTTTTTTTCATTCGAGTGCGTGTTATTATAACGTACGTTATGTTGGAGGGGTCGAACCATGCGGACCTGCGGTCGACCGTCGACCGGGCATCCTCATAAGTGGCAACTTTGCTGGCATCGAAAATGTTAATGGCGAGGTTGATGCCGCTACCAACGAAAGCCTCGAGTATGTCGGTCTCGGTTGTGTAGATTCGGGCCGCGGGAACACGGTTTTGGAGGAGGAGATCGACCACCACGGAAGGTATTAGCCGCTGCGCGTTTTTCCGGCCCCAATTTACGCCGATTACGCCCTCGGTTACGAGGACATTGGTGCAGCTCATTGCTGCAATGAATAATGCAGCTGCATATGAATATGATGATGGAGAATGGAAATTGATGAGTTTGGAAGCCATTGAGGGTGTGTTGATATGATTTTGGGTTTACTATTGGCATAATAATGCTGTTATGTGGGTTTTAGGTCTTTGAGGTTTTCTATTTTTGGAGGGAGGTCAACGGAGGTCTTGTCTGAGAGTTGACAAATTGGGTTGACTTTCACTGAGGACCGCTTATTGGGGAGTTTTTTGTGCTGTAGTTTTGACGATGTTTCTTGAGAGGGGATGAAATTTAGGAGATTTTTTTTTTTTTTTTTTTTTTTTTTT